TCTCTTTCGCTCTCTCAAATAAATAAATAAAATCTTAAAAAAAAAAAAAAAGAATTCCCATGGTCTTGTGCAAGCAAGCAAGTGTAAGCTAGTTACCTTTCTCTCTTTTATATTTTTCTATCTTTCTCATAAGGTTAGGTACAACTCTTCTGCAGAGATCCTCCAGTAACCTCAGATTATCTTCATCTATTAGACCTTGTTTCTCCAGATATGCCAGGAAACTTAGAGAGGTCTGCAAGAGAATCAATGGAATCACATTTACTTGCCTTCTGATGATCCATTCATTCTTGAAACATTACCTGCACGGCGACTAGTCACCAGGTTTTGCAATGATGAATAAGGAACAGTGTTTGTCCCTGAGGAGTTCAACAGTATGGGGGAAGAGGCATTTCCAAGTAAGTTATCTATATTAATAACAAATACAAAATATATATAACTTACTACGTACCGGGCAGTGTTTGCTGTATATTAACCTCAAAAACAAGCCAATAAGGCTAGATACTATATAACCCCCATTTTATTTATCTTTTATTCAAATTCAATTAATTAACATATAATGTATTATTTGCTTCTGGGTATAACCCCCATTTTAAAGATGAGATAACTGGGATTCAACAACTTGTCCAAAGTCACAGAGCCAATAAGTGGCAGAGCTGGTATTTGAACCCTGGCAGTCTGATGTCAAAGTTCCTCTAATTAGCCATTGAGCGACACTGCCTCTCACTCACAGCTGTAAATGATATACTTAGATTAGGGCGGCAACAAAACAGAGGCACCAAAGACACGGGGGGCAAATATTTAGTATTTTAAAAGAAAAAAAATTTCTTAAATGCTGCTGGGAAAAATCGCAAATTGGCTAGTATTATTTTAATATTGAATTACATGTGGGGTGGAAGGCACCATAATCTTTTCAGTGAACAGGGCTTCTCAGCGTATTAAGCTGGTTATGAAAAAATATATACGAATGACCTTACACTAGAGCCCACAGAAAAGAGTAATTCATCAAAAGTGAACCTCTGCACACTATCTCACTAGGTACATGAGCATCAGCAGGGTGGGAACTGGGAAGAGGTCTCCAGATATACTGAATGGTTGAATGGCTGAAAAGGGACAGTCTGTTCAGGAACATTGAGAAGGAGGCTTGAGTGCAAACCCTGAATAAGAGCTAGGTCATGGTCGAAACAGGGGGCTGCTATGGGACCGTGAAGGAACACACAGACACACAGTATGTGAGGAGTTTTGCATGTGTCCCACGCATCAAGGAGTGTCAGTAGTAGTTTTTAAGGAGAATAGTAACGTGAGCACACTGGTTTTTGAGTGGAAGTCTTGAAACAGGTTGGGGGAGGAAAGGAATTAGAAAATATTGGCAGTAATATTAAATACCCTGGCAAAGAGACGATCAAGACCTGGTCTAAAGCCAGTGGTGGAAACACAGAGGAGGCACTGGGTTTGAGAAGTATTTCTGAAATAGAATTTGGTGAGTTGTGGAGATCAGTTGGAAGTGGGTGAAGAAATGAAGGAAGAATCCAAGATAACTTTCAGTGGTGATACCACTCATTTATTCATCATTCATCTATGGCACAAAGCAGACTTCACACAAGCTGCTCTGGGAGGGGATTCTTGAAGGATGACTAGGTCTTCATTGCCAACATGGAAAAGGACATTCCTTTGCCGTGTTGGCAATGGAAAGGAAAGGGCAAAGTAAACCACATGTGGAAATGATGTGAAACTAAAAACCTGGTTATGAGGAGGTTCATGTTGGCTTCAGCAAGAAGTTTCATTGGAATGAAGGAAGCTGAAGTCATATTGAAATGCACTGAAATGTGACCCAGAGTTGAGTTAGTGGAGAAAGAGTTTATACAAACTATCCTTTCAAGAAGTTTGGCAGTAGAGGGAAGGAGGGAGACTGAGCAATAACACAGGATGAGGAAGGGTTACTGAGCGCGTGCGAGCGTGCGGTGTTTCCAAATAAGGCACTCAAGATGGCACCAAACAAGGGAAAGGCCAGAGTTACAAAATCTTACTTGATTTCTGTTCTCAACTGATCAAAGAAAGATTATAAATTTTTTTCAAAGATTTTTATTTTTTTTATTTATTTATTTTTTATTTATTTAT